TGCACTAAGCCTGGGCAAAGCCTATGCATTGTAAAGAGACATACCCAGAACTGGTCTAGATGAGGGGTGACAGTTCATCTGCATGCTAGCAGGCAAAGAACAATTCTTTTAATTTCTGTGTAGATATCAAATCTGCCAGAATTCCTTAAAAAATTCCAAAGGGACAAAAAGTGTTTACCTGATACTTTAAAACATCCACATTGTAATAGGATGCAGATGGATTCTGCTCTGATAATTTCTTGAGGTAGACAGTTATAGCTTGCATGTTTATCCAAAAATCCTTAGTACTGGAGTCACTTTGTGACTGATCACTACAAAGAAAAAGAAAGGTAGGAGTGAGAAGGCAACACTGAGTTTTATTATTTTGGACGTCTAAAAATTAAGATTAGATCTTTCCCCTTCTTCACTATTTCAAGCAAGAATTTGTTGTAATGCTTTATAATACATAATTGTACCTTCCTAAATATTAAGACAAATCAACTGTTTGTTCTATCTGGTAAAAAATTTCCTTCCAGGTTGTGGAGCAGTGAGTTTTCTCCACTGATGACTGCCATCACAAGATGGAGTTAATGCTGAGTTTGGATTTTAGATTCAATAAACCACTATTTTAATACAAGTAGGTGCTGTGAGTATGTGTGGGAGGTGGGGATGAAAGTTGTATTTGAAAAGAAATGTTATCCAGCCTGGAATAAATCCTAAAATAATAATTTAGCTTTTTTTCAATTAAAAGTGATTTTCAAATTATTATAAACAATTGTTTCTTAGATACTTATAATTGCATTTAATCTTAGTAACAATTTATTATGTCACTTCTATATGTAGGTAAGAGCGCACATGACTGCAGAAGCAAAATAGTGTTTGGGAGCTACTGGAGCATGGTGTTCTGCAGATCAAGAATATTTTCAGCTCTGGTTGCATCAGGTTTACTTTGAATAAGGATGAAGATTTTAAGCAAACTGATTCAAAACCAAAATTCAAATCACTTAAGAACCAAAATCCCCTAAGTATCTATGGTGACAGTGAGAAACTGCACCCATGCCCAAGGAGAAATGCAGAGTGTGCCTGCAGAGTAGAAGCTCACAATGAGCACCTGGAACACAGTAAATATGACAATGGGTTGAATGTCCCAGAACAGTGACTTACATACCAGTAGTCTGTCCAATTTACTTAGAATTTGGTTCCCAACACCCTGTTATGATTAAAGAAATTTCCTATATAGATAAACACTTACTTATCACCACAGAGGCTTTCCACAATTTAAATAAATGAAACCAGTAGTAATATCTTTCTGCTGCTCCACAACCAAGCGCAATTCAAATCAGAAATTCTGACATCACCACAAGTAACACTCTCATCAAAAACTTCAACCTCTATAAATACCAAGCAAATGACACCCTTTGCAGTATATGATGAAAAGTCAAATTATTACTATATGGGCTTAACTTTGTAAATATCCATTACGTGCAACCTTTTTAATTAGAGTTGAAGTGTTACAGCACTCAGACAAGAATACTAGACATTTTCACTTTTTTGCAAAATACACTTTTGCCGTATAATTCATTCTGTCAGATAACAGCACTGCTACACTTCAGTTATAAAAGCAATTAAGCTTAATTTTGTATGAATCATTCATTACATTAAGTATGAATGATCAAAATGAAATTAAATACAAAAGAATGGATGTATATGGTTTGATTATTTCTTTTTTTCAGTAATTTAAAAAATGTAGCAGCTAAAAGCATTTAACTAATTTTCAAATAATTTCTGCAATAAATGAAATAGAATCTGCTCAGCTAAAGCAGATCTCTGCTAAATAATTACAGCTTTTATATATTTTTAAAAAATATCTCCAAGTGCTGTGACTTCAGCAATTATCCTACTCAACCAGCAGCCTTTTTTATTAAGAATTCTCCCAAGCATGCTGCTATGCACCTGAGATAGTTATGCAATGGAACTGACCTACTGTAGAAAAGATACAGCTTAAAAATACACTAGTAAGTAATGAATGAGATTAGGTGTAGGTCCTACTAATTGATTTACATTTAAGGCTACTGTTTCATCATTTAATCTTACAATTGTTACTACTGTATAGAGAAATAGTTTATAAAATGCATGTCAAAACACAGCTATATTTATAAACTTGTAATCTTAAAAAGAGATTTTTAATGGTGGCAGTGTAGAGAACTGAGCTGAACAAGATTAATTCAGGAAATTAAATTATATATAAGCAAATGAACAAGACTGTAGAGTATTCTGATTTACATATACAACAACTCACGTTTTACAAATCATGTAGTTTACTATTATATTAAAAAAAATACAAAACCTGTATACAAGTTGTGCATTTGGAAGAATCTGCTCTAGTTTGCTTGTGTTTTTTACCCTGAAGCAGAGCACAGCTGGAGATGGGTTACTGGTGAAGACTTTAATAATCCCACTTGGGAATGATACTGTCATATCACCAGTAATCTTCACAATACATCTAGAAGAGAATGAAAACATCAGTTTCATTGCAACTCATTAACCATCTAGTTTTAATATTAATTTTAAAGCAATCACTGTATTTTCACAATCTAACTGAATTAAAATCAATTTCAAATGAGGGTAATGTGACAATGTATTGTCACTTTCAACTTGGAAGTCAGATGAAAATAAGTAAAGAAAAAGGTTTAGCTGATTAAGCATACAGTAGTCTTGGAGGTATTTTTCAGGCTTTGAAAACATGGCATAACTATGCTTAGGCAAGGCCTAAGTAGCATAGTAAGGGATGTGACAGAGGGAATGAGGTGCTTTTAGCTCCCAAATTTACACGTAGTACCTACCTAACTATGATAAAACCTCTTCTCTTTTTCAGTGTTCCCACTGAATGCTTTTTTGTAAAGCAGGGATATATGAACTGGCAGGATGCAGGCCAATACAGAGCAATAAGCCACTGTTGTCACTTATACCAGGGAAAAAAAACCTTTTGTATCCCCCTTCTAATGTATATACATTTCCCCCCAAAATACTAGAAATAAAACCAGCATGTTTTCTTATTGTAACTTATTACATTCAAAACAGTTCACTATTTAACTAACTTTGTGGGATCTGCTCCTTTAAAGTAGGCGTTAACAGATTCAGTAAGGGCTACTGCAACAGGCAAGGTGTCCTGGTTTCCAAGGCTGACAGGGCTGGGACCACGTGAAACACCTAGAATACATACAGTGTATAGGTTTAATTTTCAAAAAGCTTAGCAATAGATTTCAGAATGATTGACTACACTTGTAACTTGATGTTACTACCATCAAGGTCACAGTAGCATCTGAAGTATTACTTGAAAAATATGTAGAAAAATATTAACATAGTACTGTACAATTGTACCATCAAAACACTGCTTAGCAGCCTAAGAAAACAGGACTATCAGTATGACATTATGTAAATGCACAGACACAAGGAAATACAAAGGAAACAGAGGAACACTGCATTAAAAAGGCTACTGATGAAAATGAAGTCAACAGATCCAAAGGAAATTAGACATTGACTACAATACTTAAAAAAAAATCCCTACTGTATGCTTATTGTATGGAAAAATGTATGATAACATGTTCATGGAAACGCAAAGAATTCACTTACAGTATGCATGAACTTAAATGCAAATACATTAATATTAACCCACATAAGTGAACTGTTGAACATTCTTTTAACCGTTTCAGCCAACAAAGATTACAATTCCAAAGCAGAAATTGTTGGAGAAGTCTTCACAGATGCTTGTGCCAACACAACACAGTTCCAATACATAGGTATAAAAAACAACTCAGACCGCATGCTATAGCTTTTTGAAATGTGTGTGTACAATTGACAAAACTAGTTGTCATGGGATTTTACTTTTCACCAATTTTCTCTATGTGTACCGAATATGAAAGACAATACTGGAAGTTCTGTCTTTTTATTTGTGCAGCAGTGTACTAATTTTTTGGTCATACAAAAATGGCCTGTGTCACATAGTATTATCTATTACAAAGGAGGCAAAGTCTTTCTCATTTCATGAGCAAAATGAAAAATTTTTCTTTCATACCATAAAGAAGAAACAAAATACTTTTTTATAATATTGCTCATGGTAAAATAATCCTATTTACTCCAAAACAGTGGCTGTTCCTTCTGAGCTCTTTCAGAAGCAAAACCGAAGTTGAGACCTTGTTCTTAAATTCAGAGACAACTTGGAGAGAGCTGGGGTTGTTCACCCTACAGAAGAGAAGGCTCTGGGGAGACCTTATCGCAGCCTTCCAGTACTTAAAGAGGGGAGTATGAGAAAGATGAGGACAGACTTTTTAGCAGGGCCTGTTGTGATAGGACAAGGGGCAATGGTTTTAAAAAAAAGAGGGTAGATTTAGAACAGATACAAGGAAGAAATTTTTCCCAATGAGGGTGGTGAAACACTGGCACAGGTTTCCCAGAGAGGTGGTAGATGCCCCATCCCTGGAAACGTTCTTCAGTGTCAGGGTGGACGGGGCTCTGAGCAATCTGGTCTAGTTGAAGATGTCCCTGCTCATTGCAGGGGGGTTGGCCTAGATGACCTTAAAAGGTTCCTTGCAACTAAAGGATTCTATGGTTCTATGAGAATTCTGCTACCACATACCTCAATTTCCATGGTTTCTTGCCTAAGATAGTAAAATGTTCAGAATACTTCTCAGCATCATGAAAAAAATCTTAGTGCAACATTTAGGCCTCCTTAGATTGAAAGTGATACTCTAGTCACAAGTGTTCAAAACAAAAAATTCTTAGATGAACACAATATTATGATGCTTGCTGCAAAACACTGATTTATTTTTTTTTAGTATGAACCGTAGGTTGGTTTTATTTATTCTTTCAGACAATACATGGGCAAAGTTTCCAAAGTTTTCTGTCTCTCCCTGAAAACTACCAATAAAAGCTGTGATTCCCAATAGTCTCAGGAATCCAGAAATCATGATTTCAAGAAGTAAACGTGCAATAAAATAACAAGTTAACAACAACCAGAAATTCTGGTTGGCAAAATACTGAACTCTGGAAGTACTCTCCACTAAAGCCAAAATATGTACTCAATCAATATGGTACTACAGTTGCTGGGGTGTTTTACTGACTTTTTCCCCCAATTTACTAAGGAACAACAAATGATTGAGAGCAGGTAGGAGGTGATTACCCTGTATTAATTATGTCCAATTGTTTACAGATGTATAAATTATTCTTAAATATTTTACTTATAATGGCCTTGTGTGAATTTTTATATTAATATTTGGAAACCAAGCAGAGTAATGCAAATATATAAATTATGTTCCTACCGGTAAAAGACAAATATTGATTTCTTGACTGAAGAATAAAATTTATTAGGAATAACAACAGTATTTATACTTTTTTGAGGGGAACACCAAAGCAAGTATATATGTGTATATATGTTTCTCTGAGATGTATTTGAGGGACTACAAATGAGATAGCTTCTCTCTTATTTGCTCTGCCTCCACTGTTCATCACCCTTTGATTCATAAAACCCTATGCATTCTCCTAAAACCCAAGAAATTGAAACAAACATAACTGCTTAACTTAACTCTGGAAGTCATCCTTTTGCTGCCTTGCTGCTGAAAATACAATGCAATGCAGTGACATCCAGCTTCAGGGCTTTCCACGCGTGCTGTGAACTCTCAGCGGGATGGGACGTCACAGAGCTGCACCAGGGCAGCCTCGCTGCGATTCAGGCTGCAGCGCAGCTCAAGTTCTGTGCTCCGGTTCTAGCACATTCGGCAGTAGCAGCAAAGCTGGCTGTGATGCCCTGCCACCTGCCTCAGCCCCGACCACCATTAACAGCCCCTGAGCTGTGCTGATACAAGAGATAGTGGCACAGCCATGCAAACAGTTGCATTGACACACTCCAGGAGGCTGCCAAACTGCAGAATAAAAGACTGCATCATTGATCATAAAAAGGGCAAATAAATAAACCTGATCAAATGGTTTTAGTTCAGTTTAGGAACAAAGATTGAGACAATTCTAATATTGGCTAAATGGCTGTCATGAAATTAAAATTTATTTTAAAAAAGGATTACTTTTATTATGTGTATCTTCAAAGATTTTTATGATATGTAAATATAGAAACATTTTTACTTACTTGTATTATGAGAATAAGGATTGTCAAAGTAAAAATGTATTCACTTTAATTGAAAGACAGTAGTAATGACAAACTGAAGAAGCAAGACCAAGTTTCAGCTTGTTTGCAGGGGGCAAGGGGAGACAGACAGAAGGTTACATTATATAAAAGCAGTTATACCAAGTTTTGGTGATCTCAGCAACATACAACTTGTTAAGTAGTTGAGCTTTCAAGATACTTGTATCTACCATATACCAGATAGAGCTGGAGAAACTTGTTTTAAAAGAAACGCAATTTTATTAGGTGTAGTGTATTAGGATGATTAGTTAACATGTAAATCTCCTTTGAGTACAATACCTGGTGGTGTCTCACAAAGCTTTTCAATTGTAGGAAGATTTCCAATCAAAAGATCATCCTCTATTACATTTATATGAAACAAAACATTGCAAGAAAACAAAATATTTCAAGCAAAAATAGATGTTAAAAATTAATATATATAAAAATAATTTGCAAATTAAAATAAGGCTAAAGCATAAAAGAAACATTCAATTATGCATGCCTTAAATTTGCTTGGAAAAAGATAATTAGAGTCAACACCCCATTACTCAGAACAAATGTGGTAAAGGAAACAGTGGATTGTGCAAAAGTCAAAAGAATACAGACAGTAGTGCGGAGTGTCCTCATGCCTCAAAGTCGTTCAGCCATCTGCACTGTCCTTCCCAGCTCTCCACGACTATTTAATTCCTAGTCAGTGCAGATGGAACTGGCCTTGTTTATTTTTGCGAGGCCAGGTTAATAACCATGTCAAACCTCAGTGTCAGCACACACCTCTTCCTTACCTCCCCTCTAACCTCAGGATTTCCCTCTGTCACCGTCTCCAACAACACACACACACTCAGAGCTGGGGCTATTGATGCTGCTGCCACCGACTTTTGGTTCCTTGGCACCAGTGCTGAGGACTGAGGATGTAAGCCTGGATGGACTTTGGCAACCAAAATATCAATTATCTTTCCGTGATGCTTCTCAGCGTTTGGGAAACTGGTAGACACTGAACTATAGCAGCTAAGGCTGGTCAGGCCTTACTAGCTTTGGTCCTGCACAGGGTGGAAACAGCGGCACTGCTTTCAGGGCAGAACTCCCATCAGAAGCTGCACAAATGCTCTCCTGAGCTGTTGAGCATGAGTGAAGAATCCCTGGGATCAGTAACATTCACAGATAACTGAGTGTTAAGAATCTGATTACTTGGGACTGAAGTGGTAACAGTGTTCAGGAATTAAATACTTCAATTCTGCTAAAGAAAGAAGTTAAAATGAGTCTCCTTTTAATTTGTTATAAGCAACTAACAAAATGGAAGGGCTTTCCTTTAAAAACATGAGAAAACATTCTGAAATTAGTGGCAACACATGAAAATGTGCCTGTGACACAGTGCCCCACAACATGCTTCTAAGTTGGAGAGATGTGGATTTGATGGGTGGACAGTTGGGTGGATGAGGAATTGGTTGGATGGTCGCACCCAGAGGGTAGTGGTCAATGGCTCAATGCCCAGATGGAGATTGGTGATGAGCGGTGTCCCTCAGGGGCCCATATTGGGGCCGATACTCTTTAACATCTTCATCAATGACACAGACAGTGGGATCGAGTGCAGCCTCAGCAAGCTTGCAGACGACACCAAGCTGAGTGGTGAGGTTGACATGCCTGAGGGACGGGATGCCATCCAGAGGGACCTGGACAAGCTCAAGGAATGGGCCCATGTGAACCTCATGAGGTTCAACAAGGCCAACTGCACCTGGCTCAGGGAAACTCCCAGTATCAGTGGAGGCGGGGGGATGAAGGAATTGCGTGCAGCTCTGCCAAGAAGGACTTGGGAGTCCTGGTGGATGAAAACCTGGACATGAGCCGGCAATGTGCACTCGCAGCCCAGAAGACCAACCATATCCTGGGCTGCATGCAAAGAAGCATCACCAGCAGGTTGAGGGATGTGATTCTGCCCCTCTACTCCGCTCTGGTGACACCCCACCTGGAGTCCTGCGTCCAGCTCTGGAGCCCTCAGCACAGAAAGGACATGGACCTGTTGGAGCGACTGCAGAGGAGGGCCACCAAAATGATCAGAGGGATGGAACACTTCTACTGTGAGGACAGGCTGAGAGAGTTGGAGTTGCTCACCCTAGAGAAGAGAAGGCTCCGGGGAGACCTTAATGCAGCCTTCCAGTACTTAAAGGGGGGATTATGAGAAAGATGTGGACAGACTTTTTAGCAGGGCCTGCAGTGATAGGACAAGGTTTAATGGTTTTTAAAATAAAGAGGAAGAAGGAAGGAAGAAATTTTTCCCAATGAAGGTGGTGAAACACTGGCACAGGCTGCCCAGAGAGGTGGGAGATGCCCCATCCCTGGAAACATTCTTCAGGGTCAGGTTGGACGGGCCTCTGAGCAATCTGGTCTAGTTGAAGATATCCCTGCTCATTGCAGGGGGTTTGGGCTAGATGACCTTTAAACATCCCTTCCAACCGAAACTATTCTATGATTCTAAGACTAATTTCCTTTTCATCTTTTTGTTTGGTTGTTTGTTTTGCTTTTACTAATCACCTCCGTTTAGCTTATATAATTCACTAACTTCAAGAAAAAGATGCATTAATTTCATTTTTTTTGGAAACTGCAATTACAGGATAACAAACAAAATGCAAAGAACATAACAACCTCAATTTTGTGAACATTTATATTCAAATTCATCAGTATCCCAAAATATTTCTGCACCTATACAATAACATCTTCTGAACAAATACATGATAACACATTGTGCTTGATGAATCGATATACAAGCATACCAAGTAAGAATTCATGGAATATTAATTTTGAAAAATATTTCCCTAGAATATGCCATAATTGAATCTGTGGTCTAACCTAATTAAATCCACTGCCCTGTCTCTCAGTGTCATTTAGAAGCAGGTATTGAAAGGATGCTTGAAGTATGTAGACTGGACTCACATATGGAACAACTAACTCCAACGAATGGTTTTCCTAATAGGTGGAACCTAATTGCAGAATTATGCTTTTTCTAAAATAAGTTAAAATAGTTAATTTAACTTACCAACTGTAGGTGTGTTTGCTGCACTGAGGGAAGCAGAGGAGGATATTGAGGAAATGCTCTCTGCACGTGCCAAGGGAGCTGAAGGAGGTGGACTTGAGTTAGAGGTCAATGGAGGGCTGAATGGCCTAGGCTGAACAAAGAGATTACAAGGGTATTACAAAAAGTGGTTTTAAAGAGATGAAAAGAAGACTGTAAATAGAAGAGTTCTTAATTTCATGCCCCAATCAATTTCATAGTGTTTCTCAACATAGTTCCTTTAATGCTTTATCTAATTTAGTTTTTAGGGTAAAACAATGAACCTACATTTTCCATTGGAATCAATCCCATTATTTCATAGATTATCATCATTAATTTTTTACCTGTGTAGTTAAGTCTAGTACATTTGATTATGTAGCAGTCTGTCAATAACTGTGCTGTAACACGGTAGCAGAACCTAAGCCTACAGCCCTGTGTATGCGGGCAGCAAATGCGGATTTACAGAGCTAAAGCGGAGTTACTAACAAACTGGGAGTACAGCGGGGGGCAACTAAAATAGTTGGGACTGGAGTATATAATGAAGGAGGACAGGCTGAAGTACCTGGGTTTGTTCAGCCTGAAGAACAGAAGCCTAAGGAGGAATCCACTAGCAGTCTTTTACTAGCTAAAAAGGGGTATAAAGAAGGCGGAGTCAGGCTCTTCTCAGAGATGCAAGAGTTACAGCAAAGGAAATTTTAGCTGAACTTAGGGAAGAAATTCCTTTAACCTCATGGTTAAATCCTAGGACGAGTTGCCTAAAGAGATTGTAAGATCTCCCTCTCTGGAGATTTTCAAAACTCAGCAAGTCCTTGAGCAACCTGATGCAATTTTGAAGTTGGCCCTTCTTTGAGCAGGAGGTTGGCCTAGAGATCTTCAAAGACTCTTTCATCTTAAATCTCTGTATGCTTTTATGATTCACTTAACTGTTAAGGTATTAAACTAACTAATGATCATTTTGGGATTAACCTGACTAAAAGGTACTTAAACGCCATCTATTTTGGCTAGGTAACTAGTGGTTGTTAGGTTTTTTTGTTGTTTTGGTTCTATCACATTTGTTGCTGGGTATGTGACTTTTATATAGGCTATGGGAATTGTAAAAGGAGTTGATACACAATGAAGACAACTGACAATTTTCCACTTGTATCCAATTAATAGCCAATTTCTAAAACAACAGTATAAAATGAATGTAGCTTTATGCAGAATCATACTTTATAGCAGAACAGCACCAGCTAAATTCTTCTCTTTATGAAAACATGAAGAACAAATTCCTTGGTTTAAAGGCAATTACTACAATTTTATATTGGAATAAGAAAAGAATCTCCAAATGAACCCTATTCTGACCTTACAGAAATGCAAAACAGCTTAAAAATGTTTCAGCTTTCTCAAAGCATAAGACCAGAATTTTGTCCCTAACAAGAATATGGTGACAATATCTTGCTACTTTGAAATACAGGAAGAGGATCTTACCACGGTAACATTTTTCCAAGTCAGTAAGTCAAATGAAACTCAAAGAATCCTAATATTCACAGAGGAGATTAAGCATGGCTTGGTCTGATATGCTGCCTCGATATTTGCATTCTTTGCCACATTCCTTATCGGCAGGTGGACCTGCACTGCAGGCAGTGAGCAGAGATGCAGGCAGCGTGCAACCTCTCACTATCCCGATGGGCAGCTGCTGCAATCTGCCACCTCCCTTCTCCACCAACCAGCACCAAGGGCAGCGAGAAGTCACAGCAGAGCTACTTGTGTCAACACATGCCTGATAAAGATCTACTTAATACCGTTCATTCCTCAAAGCTTTGGTGATATCCCTAAATCAATGGAGCTTTCTAAATAACTTTGCTAGTATTTCACTTTTTGAAAACTTCAATCTCATTCACATGCTATCCTTGCATTATCAAATTATTGATTTGTTCAATTAAACACATTCAGACGATGTAAAAATTATGTTTTGGACCTTTGTAGTTCTGTTAAGAATTATTTTGTTAGTAATATAGTTATCACAAACAACTTCCATGACTATCTGGAAATGGTGGAAATCTGCTTATGTGATTCCCTGAACATTGGCTGGAAAACAGCACCACTGTAACAGTGTAAATGAATGGTATATCTGAAATCAAGTTACAATGGAGAATTAAAAAAACAATCAATACATACTATTTCATTAATCCCACTAAGTTTCCCAGTAGACAGTTTTGGTCGTGAAGCAGGCCTTGGAGGGGGTACAATGGTGCCTACAGAAAGAGGAGTTGTGGGCCTTGCTGAAAGAAAGCAAGTTTAAGGAAATAAATATTAGAAAGGTCACACTGAACATAAATACATACTTACGTGAATAGAGTAACTGGAAGTTATATTTCTATTAAAAGTTTCTCTTCTACGAGCTCCATTTTGTAAGGTTTACCACTTATCATAAATGCTTTTTAAATAGGGCTGTGTCACATGAAAAGTGACACATGAAAAGTGACTCTAAAAATGGCATCATGGGCTTTCTCATTGCTCTCAAATGATTTTACACCAACCATTCTTGGAAGTTTGTATGTAAAAAGGTGGTTGTACTTGAGCTTCCTTTTGCATATAATCTATATGGATTCAGAATATGGGACAGTCTTTCATATCTCACCACAAATGGAAAATTCAGTGGAAATTAATATTTGGTCCTCACTGACAGTGGCATAACTCTGTTTACACCAAATTTTGCCCACTGAAATCCCACTACTTCAGTAAGTATACACCAGTGCAACAGATAAATTACTCTCTTGATTGTAAGAACACACTAACTCTTTGTTATCTCTTAGATAAGCTGTCAGGAGTAAAAAGCAGTTAAAAAAAATACTGCCCCCATGTCCTTCTAAACCTAACAGAAACAATTAACAGATGGTAGCAGCAGTACAAAGATGCCACTTTTACAAAGTCACTTTTCTGAATAGAACAGATACAACTGTATTTCAAAATAAATATTGCCATCCAATGAGTACACCAAAATTAACTTCAAAATAGACTGAAATCCTAATATATGACTATGTTGTTGCAGCACATCCTCTTATCTCCCTCAAATTATTCTGGATGGTTCTTTTTTAATTAAATCAATTAATGCTATTTAAAATGCAACTTTTAAGTATGGCGTTTTCTCAGGCACTCAACATAATTCTGCTGTCCTTTAAGTAGGGGAGTTACATCACTGACTTGGAAAGAAAGAAATTAGGCAAATACTGACCACATCCATCTTAAGAGTTGCAAACTCAAATATCCCCATATATGTTCTAATATATCAGTCATTCCTTTAAAATTCTTATTATGGCCCACAGTGACACTGCATGCTAAACACTGAAGAGTCTGCTGCAGTACCACAGGTATTCAGTGAGTCATGGCACACTTGCCCAAATGCACTTTTCCTTTACGCTCTTAGTTTGTAGCACTACCGTGATACCATGCATGCTTCAGAATACTGGGTGTTAAAAAGGAACAGTTTTAAATTCAATTCATTAAACTTTATTTTATCTGAAAATATCTGTACAAAACCATTTAGGAATAGAACTATTTTTGCAAATTCAATCACTTAATCTTTGAGATCTCACTGCTGTCTGACATCCCACAAAAATACATTCCTATTTCTACAAAAGCAAAGCTCTGCACAGCTAAGAGAAAGCAATGCCTTTAACTGAATAATGTAAATTTTTCTTATTTCAAGCTGAACATTTACCTCATTATCCTAACTTTCAAGGAAGTTGGTGCTAACAAGCAATTTAGTACGTTCTAAGTAAGAAGATGAGTTAATTTTAACATCAAGTGAGTGATAATAACAAAAAGAAAATTGAGTCCAAAGCTTGCTTTTTGGAGTCAGTTATTAGAAAAAAGCAGTACACAATGCATGCTTGCTGTACCCTTATTTGTGTGAGCACAAGAAGACTCTAAACTATAGTCCAGCAGTGCTGAAGATGATGTGGAAGAAATTTCAGCAGCAGTACCAGTTTCTTCAATGAATAATCACAGAATCACAGAATCACAGAATCACTAAGGTTGGAAAGGACCTTCAAGATCATCAAGTCCAACCTTTAATAATTGTTCATGGCATATAGTATTATTGAAAAGGTCACTTTGATTCTCAGAAACACAGCTGTTGGAAGAATTCCCAAGCAAAGCAGAAGAGGCAAGGCACGTATTTTCAGTTTTTAAATGCAATATCTGGGGCTGCTTCTTGTTTCTGCTTGTGTGTCTAATTGTAAGAAGTTCATCAGCAAAGCAAATCCACTGACACTGAGACTGTGAAACACAGGATAAAGTACCAGTACTCCCTGATGGTGCTGCTGTAACACCAGGTTTGCACAAAGTGTTAATGGTAAAATCTGGTGAGGATGGGCTTGTAGACCCAGAATCTGTCTGGTGTCCAAGCAAAGACTGAGATACTCTACACCCAGGCAACTCAGTGGTAGATGCGGAGCTCCTATTGTGCTCTTTTAGTGTGGCTGAAGGAAAAGGGAAGAATTGAAACTAGGACCAACACTGAAAAATTTCAATATTCAAAAAAGTATTCAATATCCACTGCATGAGGATTACTAGCCAGCATGAAAAATAACTGCTCTACTGGGCTAAAAATCCCAGCACTTACAAATAAAAGAAAAAAGCCCCAGCCACATACCACATTTACTTCATACTGCCAACCATTTCCATTTTTTAACTAAGGCAAAAAATAATTTATTGTGTTTCTCTCCACTTAAGGCCCTACTTCTCATGATTTTCCTTATTCCTCTAACCTCCTTCCTGTCATGGTTCAAATTCCTCTCATCTTTGTCTTCTCCTTCTTCTGTCCTACTCCATTTTGTTTCCTCTCCATAGCTTTCTCTTTTTCATTTCTTTCAAAGTTATTTAATCAAGTCTATCCTATCCTGTTCTTTCCAAACATTTTTGTCCTCCTAGCCATAACATTTGTAATGGGAAGGCCCAACATAAATGGCTGTCTGATGAATGAATGAAGCTAATGCAATTATGAGATCCTATTTGATATTCTTCTGTCCATATCAACCTGTTACCTAGTGAGTAATTATTTGTATGAGGCATCATCCACCCCAGTTTATCCTGTAGTCTACAGGCTGCTGGAAAACAGCAGTTTTCCACAAGTAATCCCTGCACTTGGCTGTTGCCTGCTGCAGTAGATGACAACAGAAGCAGAAAATGCAAAGTTACTCAATTCTCAACATCTTGCAGATTTGCAAAGCTAGGAGCAACAGCGGAGTGACATACAGAAGCAAAAAAAGAGAGCAACACATTTTGAAGTTCAGATCAAAATTATAGGTATCCTCTTTACAAGGGTCCTTCTGCCATGAACAAGTACATTCTCTAAGCTCACATAAATCAAGTTTTAACACAGCTTTCCCTTTCTGACAGATATTTTAAATATCATTCAAGGACTTTAAAATACTACTATAAATCCGAGTCAAAAAGCAATGTGGAAATGTTCAAAACTATTTTAAAATACATGTGGATAAAAATGAGGAAGATAAATAAAAAGAAGCATTTTTACAATATCAATAGCAGGCTAAAACATGCCTGTTGTGTTTGTTCAAGATAAGAAAGTTAGCTCAAACTTCTAATAAAGCAGGATTATTCATGGATGACCAAAGTTTACTTCTGTGCTGCATAAACCACTGTCTGCTCAAATACCATGGTAGTTAAAATGTTAAATGATTAACACAAAGTTATGAAACAGTATCTAAAGAAATTTTTTAACAGTAAAAAGAAAAACATAATCTGTGGGACATGCTACATCATGATATGCAGATATTCTGTATACAAAACAACTAATTTATATAATTTAAGTTTTGGATTGAGGTTTTCAAAAGCTTTAAGCATCAGCTTACCTATACTAACCTTCAAGTTGAAGATAAAACACTTATTTCAAGGAAAATACAACCAGATCAAATTTGTGCATTTTTTGAAGTCTTTAGAACTAAGCTGCAGGTTAGTGAGCATCAGAACTTGATTTAAATGACAATATGACCTACATCGATCTAGTATTTTTTTCCCAAATGTATTAGTAATTTGTTATACTTTAAAACACTCACTCTCTACTTAACTCCGTGGATCATTTCACAAGCGTAAATATCTTAGTTAACTCCTAGAACAACAATCCTTTAAGTAATTATTTAGCAGGTAAAGTTTGCCAAGGAACAGATGTGTCATATCTAAAATTGACTTATGCTCACAGGACACTATATTCCACCAATTTCAATGAAATATGGGGCTCTGTGCATAAGCCTCTTTTGGGTATGAGGACTCAGGTAGATGACTGCTCCCCAGACACGGCTACAGAAGGTGTTACGGATCCCAATTACCTGCCACTGCTGATCAGCCAGAGACTACTTTCTCCACAGCTCTGCTGCCAGGAGGGACTGTATGAACATTTCCTAACCTGTTTTGACTTCCTATTCAGGTGTAGCAATAAACAACTGGATACAGTAAAAACCACAAGCATACCAAATTAAGCAGCCTCTGCCTTCTGCTACAGACTCCAACACCAGCTCAAAGCTAGCAAAACAGATTATTTTGAGAAAGCACCACTTCTTTTCAGCATATTCCAGTAATAGATATCTATATATAATTTATCCTTAAATATGTTACAAATTTGGATCCACTAGCCAATAATCTTGACTGGTTACCTAAGTAAGGAAGAGACAATAGAATTATTTCTGTAAGCTAGATTTGTTAAAAAATGTTACTTTTAAGGAACATGAATTTGTAGTGAAAGAATAAGTTCCCCTTAAAACCTGAAGGGTTACATAGCAATGCTGGTTGCTGCTAAAAGGACATTACTAAGGCCAAGAACAATTAACAGTAGCTGTGCAGAATTCCCCTACTGATACATGTACTCCTCCTTACTGTTCTTCAGTCTGTATGATCAAGCACAGAGAAAAACAGCTAGAAAGCCATGATTGTGAACAAAGAAGTGAGGTCTATTATAATTTTTGGAATATGAATACCTAGCTAAAAGAAACAGTGAACACTTCCTTTCTCAGGCATGTGGGAAAAGAGTCTCAAGACAGCAGGGGTTGGAAAACAGATATGCAGTAGGTAAACTGCGGAGTAGAACTATGGAAACAGTTTATCTGCTACTGTTAGTAAATAGCAGATTCTGCTTTAAATCCCCTGAGATAATCGACATAAATAATAAATAATTTAAAGAAATACTTTTAGTAAGCAGGTCCTAACATAGCCATGACCTCTGTTTTTGTTTCGGTCTCTCCTTCCTTTTTCTGAACAAGTTTCTCAACATCTCCTGTTCTCAGCCTCTTCAACACACATGCACACTTATATGCTATTTTGCCTCCCTCTCCTGCACTGCCTTTTGAATGCAACAATCAATACTGACTATTTTTGCAAAGACCGGGTTTCAGGAAAGCCTGCCAGTGTCCTGCCCACACTAATACCCTCCAGAATCTTGCACCCCAGAATGTCCACACAACATCTGCCCTTCCCCCTCACCTCCCATACTCTTCAGCCCACCTTTTTCCTCCCAATACTCTCAGGTGGTGCCAGGAGCTCCCCCTTAATTCTAGTCTCAGTGCTGCCATTTTTATCTGGCACCCCTTAATACGTATTATGCCCGCACATCTCCTAACAGAATCATGGTTTCCTAGAGTAAACAAGTTCCTCACAGCAAAGCTCCACGGTGCCTTTGTACTACATAGCTGTACAAACTGGAAAGAAGAAACCCATCCCTGTTCACAGTGCAAGCTCAGCTTGTTTCACAATTGCTGTGACAACCTCCATTTAATCTCCCATCCCTACCAGCTGAAAAAAATGGGATAATATTCCAGATAGCGATTATTTTTTTGGAAAGTGAGAGAAGGTGACAAAAAAGTCAGAAGCAAGATAGAATTTTCCTAAGGTTTCTAGTGTTCCCTCTTCCTCCTTGCTCTCTAGCTTGAAAGCCTGATATACTGCACCCTCAGTTGTGTATTATTTATAAGACAGTATACTGCTTTACAAAATTATTTCATTTCAATAGTCAAAGCATGTCCCCTTGCAATAACTCAAAAGCAATGGAACATCCTGAAGTACATAGAGAAAACATTTGCTGCTACCAAATATTTTACCTGAGGAGGATGAGGATGCCAAGGAAGCTGAAGAAGAAGATTCAAGGGAACTGCTGAAGAGTGGATCCCATGCCAGGAGGTCACTGTTCCCCTTTCTATATTAAGAGTTACAATTGGCATATAATTGAAAGATGTATATACTCATAAAAATTAAACTACAGCTTCAGTAGTAGTTTGATAATATACACACAGCTGCAGTAGTAGTTTGGTAATATAATAAATATAATAATATGATAAATAAATTTGATAAATTCTTCTTTATTAATCTTTGCATCTAAAAATAAGAAGTACTTGCAAGTCAAGGACTTGATTGCAGGTCAAGGTTACACATAAGGCTATCTGCCCTGACACCTTGGTGCAAGTTTGTGTGTAGACATACCTCATAATGTCAGTTAAATGATTGTCATTTTCAAGGAGACATACATGTTCACATCCATTTATTTCAGTATATACATATATAAGCAATGTATACAGACCTGTCCAAATTTGGTGCTTGTAATAAACATTTCACCATGGAACACTACAGGACAGAAACTAAACCTGTCTTATTTAAAACACGAGATTTTAATAAAAACCAATATTTTGTACTCATGTAATTATCAATTGAGGCAGATCACAATGAAGCAAATGCACTAGAAGGGGAAAACAAATGATCAGAAATTTCCACTGTTACATAATTACTCCTTAACTCTTATGATGCAATAGATGTCTGACTTAAAATAGCAGTCAGCTGATATTTCCAATGAGTTTCCCAGTATTAGATCAAAATAAGACCAAATTCCCACAAAACTCCCATTTGATAGAATTTTAAATTTGAACTTACTCATTAGTTGGAGCAGAAAGCTTTGATTTTGTTAACTCTTCACCTAAGCAAAAGACACAGTATTATCACCAAAGCTGTGACACTCGAAAATTTCAGCTTCATTAAAAAAATATTGTAGATATTAATGGATGGAGTTCAAAACTAATAATGAACTATTAAAACGGAAAAGAGAAAAAATGCATTATTTCTGATAATACAAATTCAGATACTCCCCAAACACCTTGGCAAACAAGGCAGATATCCTGCTAGGTGTCCCTTACAGACCACCCAACCAGGATGAAGAGGCAGACAAAACATTCTACAAGCAGCTGGCAGAAGTCTCACAATCTCTAGCCCTTGTTCTTGTGGGGGACTTCAGCTTAAGGTATAACACAGCAGAGAGGAGACAGTCTAGGAGGTTCCTGGAGTGTGTGAAGGAGCTGTGTCCCTGACACAGCTGGTGAGTGAGCCCACCAGGGGAGGTGCCTTGCTTGACCTGCTGTTTAGGAACAGGGAAGGACTGCTGGGAGATGTGGTGGTCGGAGGCCGTCTTGGGCTTAGCGACCACGACATGATAGAATTCTCAATTCTTGGTGAAGTAAGGAGAGGGGTCAGCAAAACCGCTACCATGGACTTCCGGAGGGCAGAATCTGGCCTGTTCAGGACACTATTTGAGAGAGTCCCTTAGGAGACAGTCCTGAAGGGCAAAAGGGTCCAGGAAGGCTGGGTAGTCTTCAAGAAGGAAATCTTAAAGGCGCAGGAGCAGGTGGTTTTTTTTTATGCCCGGCCTGGCTGAACAGGGAGATTTTGCTGGGACTCAGGGAAAAAAGGAGAGTTTATCACCTCTGGAAGAAGGGGAAGTCAACTCTAGAAGAGTACAAGGATCTCATTAGGTCAAGCATAGACAAACTTAGAAAGGCAAAAGCCCAGCTAGAACTCAATCTGGCCACGGTCATACGGGATAAAAGAAAATGTTTTTACAAATATATTAACAACAAGAAGAGAGCCAAGGAGAATCTCCATCCTTTATTGGATGTGGGGAGGAACATTGTCACCAACGATGAGGAAATGGCTGAGGTAGTTAATGCTGCCTTTGCCTCTGTCTTTAATAGCCAGATCAAGTATTCTCAGGGTATTTCAGCCCCCTGAGCTGGAAGGCAGGAATGGAGAGCATAATAAACCCGCCATAATCGAGGAGGAAGCAGTTAAGGACCTGCTGCACCACCTGGACACCCACAAGTCTATGGGGCCTGATGGGATCCATCCAAGGGCACTGAGAAAAAAAAGCCACTCTCCATCATTTATCAACAGTCCTGAGTAACAGGGGAGATCCCACATGACTGGAGGCTTGCCAATGTGATGCCCCAAGAAGGGCTGGAAGGAAGATCCGGGGAACTACAGACCTGTCAGCCTGGGGAAGGTTATGGAGAGGTTCATCTTGAGGGTGCTCACAGGACAAGTGCAGGACAACCAAGGGATCAGGCCCAGCCAGCATGGGTTCATGAAAGGCAGATCCTGCTTGACCAACCTGATCTTCTTCTATGACCAGGTGACTGGCCTAGTGGATGAGGGAAAGGCTGTGGATGTTGTCTACCTGGACTTTAGTAAAGCCTTTGGCAGTGTCTCCCACACCATTCTCCTGGAGAAACTGGCGGCTCATGGCTTAGACAGGTGTACTCTTCGCTGGGTAAAGAACTGGTTGAATGGCTGAGCCCAGAGAGTTGTGGTGAATGGAGTTAAATCCAGTTGGCGGCCAATGACAAGTGGTGTTCCCCAGGGCTTGGTTCTGG